TGCACTATGCATTATGGAACTTCTGTTTTGAGCTTGGGAATGTCTTTGAAAAACATGCATAAATTTGGCTTTAAAGATTTCATGTGATAGAATACCTCTACTGGACTACAAGTAGTTGTTCCAAAAGTTACTGCTCTTTGTTCAAATGCAGTGGCTTAATCCTAGTCTGAATTTGTTGAGCTTTAGCTTCAATTCACTGGATCTTACCGTAACCTATTTTATTAGACCCCTTTTATCTATTATCCAAAATACTTTCACTGTGTATTTTTAGTATATAGAGCAGGGTCAAATTACATTTTGGCTAAGATTTAAATAGGGACTTTGATTTTTATTTTTTTTTTTAATTCTAAACCTCAAAACAATTTCTCACAGCTCTTTTCTGAACTCTTTCCAAAACCTTCATTAACTTTCTTTTCCAACAATGAACATAAAAATGGGACACAATTTTTGGCAGTGATTCCATTAGAAATCTTTATAGAAATAAAGTCTCTGAATCCCTCTGACTCCAGTACAATCCTCTCGATATATTCATGGTAGCCCTTGTAACTGCAGCACTCCTTTAAAAGCTGATGTTCCATCACTGTGGCTGTTAATCCTCCTTCTCAGTGTCCCTGCATGCCAGGACACACTTGCCACATATTCGATTTTCACCCACTTTCTGTACAATAGCATAGGCAGACAGGAGCAGAGCAAACTTCTGCAGTCTGTGAAGTAGCACAGAGTGCAAGATCTGGAGTGTTTCCTCCTCTAGTGACAGTCTAACGTTCTGCATTATCTTATCCTATTAAGAGCTGTATTATTTAGGGGAAGAATACTACAGATGCTGCCCTCTGATGAATGACTAACTGGAAGGCTCCTGTCCTACTAAGGTGCTAGGTAACTTCTGACACAAATATTCCATATTCATGTGGTGCAGATTCCCAGATAACAGACGTGTGTAAATGTGGTACTTCCAGCTAACCTACATAAAACCAAGATTCAGTGTGTATGGGAGTGTCTCCAAGGTTACTCTCACAGCAGTTCTGGCTAGTTCCTCTGAAACAGCTCTCAGTAAGAAGTAGATCGTTCTAAAGCACCTTGTAGTGACTGCCAGTTATGACTACCAAAAGATCATGGATCCAGATAGGCATTTCTTCTTCTCCCAAAGTACTACAGTGATTTACACTGGAACTACTGGGACAAACCTTTGTATATTGTTGCTGTTAAAGATCTCCCTTAAAAATGTAGGGACTTCTGTTTTTATAACTGAGGAGAAACTCAACTACAGTTGACAAAGTAATGCTAATACATACTGAAAAATCTAAAAGTTCTCAGAAATACATCAGTTATTCCTACAGAACAGACATAAGCATAAAATTTGTAAAAGTATCTTAAATCATTGTCATTTCTGTTCTCTATGAAAATCTACCCTTTTCTGTTGGTCTAGTCTTGCTCCCATTTAACACCAGCTCTGAACAGAATGACGTATTAGCCTAGTGTGCTTAGGTTCTCATCTATTGCATTTTGTTTTCCTTAAGGAATCTTGTCTGCATCTTCAGTTAGTCCTTGAGTACAAACTTCCTTTCCAAGATATGCTGATGCAAGCAATTAGGAAAGAGATACAACCCTATGATTTGTTATAAGGTTTATAGGACATAAGGGAAAATGCTATTCCTATACTTATTACTTATTATAGAACCCTGAAAGGTTTAGTCTGCATTTAAAAGTTTACTGGCATATTTGCCTGTTTTTTAGCACAGGCAAAACAAAATCATACCTGTCAGTGGCACAGCTCTCAAGGTACACCCTTATGACACATGCAATACAATTGTCTCGTTAGTAAAGTTTATTTAACTTGTAGTTTAGCTGTACTGGTCAATTCTCTAATGCAAATAAGGTTTAAACTACTATTTGTTTAAAAGTGGCTACTACTGTCTGGGTCTTTGGTATTTGGATGTCTAGTCTTCCTCTAGAAAAGGAAAGGGTGAAGGGTTTAGAGGGGAAACCATAAGAGGAGAGGCTGAAGTCGCCTGATTGTACAGCCTGGAGAAGAGGAGACTGAGAGGAGATCTCATTGCAGCCTATAACTTCCTCACAAGGGGAAGAGGAGGGGAAGGCACTGATCTCTTTTCCCTGGTGACCAACAATAGGACCAGGGGAAATGGCAGGAAGATGTGTCAGGGGAGGTTTAGGTTGGACATTAGGAAAAGGTTCTTCACCCAGAGGGTGGTGGAGCACGGGAACAGGCTCCCCAGGGAGGTAGTCACGGCACCAAGCCTGACAATATTCCAGAAGCAGTTGGACAAGGCCCTCAGACACATGGTCTGAATCTTGGGATTGTCCTATGCTAGGACAAGAGTTGGGCTCGATGATCCTTGTGGGTTCCTTCCAACTCACAACATTCTATGATTCTATGAAACTTTGCATTTGAAATGGCACAAATGCAGTCAGCTGCTGTTGGAAGACACTGAAACCCTTACTCTCTTGGTTCCAGTATATCTTTTGATTTCTGTGAACATCCTATAAACCATTCCACTCAATGTTTAAGTTTCTAGAGAAAGTTACTATTGACAAACACTTAATAGAGCAGATGAAGATAATTCCACTAACTAATCCTAAAATAATTAGGGTATATTAATATGGGATGATTAAAGACCGATAAAACAGGAAAACAGCTGATACTAGCCAGCAAAGTGTTAAGGACATTTTTTTTTTCTAAAACAAATCCAGTTTAATTCTTTGAGGCCACAGCTTAATTGCCAGAGGTAACAGCAACAGCTAGAATGTACCTAGGTTTTTGTGGAGTATTTCAATTCACTTGCACAAGGTTCCATAATTAAAAGAAACCACCGGACAATATGAATATATTTATGTATCACACAAATTAACAACTGTCTCACTGCCAAACCTCAAAAAGCAGCTTTCAAAAGGAATTGCCACTGAATGAAACTGTCCATTGTAAAGTTTCTGCAAAGCTGACACTTGGCCTCACACTATTTGACAGCTTTATATATGAACTGGAAGGCGGTACATAACAACCCCCACAGCATTTGCAGAAGACAGTGTTTAGGAGAGAAGTATTTATATAGATCACTTGACCTAGCTGCACTTTATGTAATCAAAATTCATTTTAAGGTGTACAGATGCAGAACTTAGTACCTGGGCACAAGGAATGGAGGCTGCTCCCTCTGAGTAAAAGGTTGTACCCTTGAAAGCTACAACTTTTAAAACAATTTTGGTGGATATCATGGACTTCTGGCACAGTATGAGCATCCAGGATGATGCTATGTAAAGAGAACTACTGAAAGCTTTGAAAAGATACACACTGGAGTCGTGAACCACATAAGGAAAGGAAAACTTGTTTCTGCATGTGGCATTGGTGGACTGCCACTAGAAAACTATGTATAGCCCCAGTGTTCACCTTTTCAAAAAGACATTCCAATTCTGAAAGAGACAGGAAAAAGAAACCAAAACAGTTAGAGAAAATGTCTTCTAACATGTGACTAAAAAGCACCATCTGTTTATTTTATCACAAAGTAAACTGAGAAGCGACTTGACTACTTTGACAGAGAGAAAATGCCAGTGCTATGGGGCTCCTTAAGCTAGCCAGAAAGTTACAAGTACTCCTGTTTAAAAGTGAACCCAGGCACAATGAAATAATAAATGAAGCACTACGGGGTTTAAGTCTACAGTGAAAATCTTTTAGAGTAAGTGCTACAAAAATCTTCAATTCTTTGACATCTTCAGATAAGTTCTGGACACCCTTAAAAAGTTAGGTTTTAGCCAAACACAAGTAATGGGGCTCTGCACACAGGTAGGAAACTCAGTCTTTGAGTAAAAGATAACAGTCTTGCTATGCAGGCGACCAAGATCAATGCCAAATAATCCTTTCTGACTTTACACCATCAGAACATAATCAACCAGAGTCTTGGATTCCAGTTGTCACATGAACAGCGCATAAGTATTTGAGAAGTCTGGGCTCACTTTAAACACTGTGTATGTAATGCTAGAAAACCAGAGAAGAATGGCCAGAAAGGACAAAATCTTGTCCACATCTTTGTGATGAGATCATTTTTAATGTAAAAGCTCATAATACTATTCAGACTTTATAGCGCATGTACAGTATGGATTGAGTTGTACTTAGAAAAAAATTATACATTAGTAGTACAGATAAAAGACTTGCGTATCTTTAGATTAAATAATAACATGTTCATTAAGATAAAAACAAGTTATATTTTGTCTATAAATAAACTAGGGGTTTTTTTTGTATCATGAGAAATTCTATCATCTGTCTTGTATTTTTGCCTTGGCCTATTCTTCTCATGGATGACAGTATCTTCATAGGTAATCTTCTGTATCTTCACGGAGACCTTTTAGTTTCCGTGTGGCCTTAGAAGGCCTAGTTTTGTCTTCATTTTGAGGTCACTGAAATAATTATTGGTGTTCTTGGACTGGATTGACCACTGAGAATCTAAGAAATATATTACATAAGATACTATAAAAACAAGACTAAATTCTCATACACCAAAGGAATCAAACTGAAATGGACAAGGCTGCAAACAACATGAAGCAAACTTGACACAAAACAGATATTTCTCTGTGTACAAACAATAGCTCTTGGCTGATAAAGGGAAAGAAGTTTTAAGGTTGTTTGTATTGTCATGAGATCATGTCTTGCAGAACCACAGGTCTCCATCAAATGATTGAGGATTTTCTGATGGCATGTGAAGGCGACTGTAATAAAGATTTGTGAGATGTTATTTACTAATAGCTAAGAAAGTAACTTTGCTCTAGATCTCTATTTTCTAGTCTTGATGAAAACAGCGTAATCTTCTACGTCCCTAAGAAAGCTTCTCTCTGTGTTGGCAAGGAAATGATAGAAGAGTGTAATTAAGCAATGATGACCCGAAAGTGAAATGTGGATTCTTTACAATATACAATGTCCTTCCCACTAGCCACATGTGTTTGTCAGATGTTTATAGAATCTTCATTAACTAAGAGCTTTGCTAGATAACAGAAGCTGAAGCATGGCATCAATGACTCTGATAAGGGCAAGTGTACAACCAATCTGCTTGACAACTGACAAGAGGCTGGAGTTTGAAGCAGACTGCAAAAAGAACACAAGAAAGTGATCTGCAAAGGGCATTCCAGTTGTTTGCCTTCCATCTCCTTTCCTCTCTCTGTAATGAAATAAGATTTTTAATCAGCTAAACTAGTTCTCTTGCCTCTCCATCAAAAAGTAAATATAGAAGAAATGCATTATTTTGGAGTATTAGCTGCACTGTCTGTTTTCAACATCATTGCCTGTTTGACAAGAGGCAAGCCTTTGGAAGATTGGGACAAGTTATCAGCTATGGGAAAGTCTGATGCACACTTTCATGATCCTGAGGAAGTGGAAGATGAGACTCATTTCGACTTTAAATCTTTCCTAGAGAATATGAAGACAGATTTACTAAGGAGTCTGAATTTGTCAAGAGTCCCCTCACAAGTGAAGACCAAAGAAGAACCACCACAGTTCATGATTGATTTATACAACAGATATGCTGCAGACAAGTCCTCCATCCCTGCATCCAATATTGTAAGGAGCTTCAGTACTGAAGGTAGGGTAAGTCCTAAATATGTGGACTAGAATTTTTAAAGTACATAGACAGTAGGTACTCAGATTCTTTTGAAATTTAGGGGGAATTGAGTGACCAGCTTCCACAGATTCTTTAGAAATGAAACAGATTAAAATTTTGGCTTGTAGTCCTGCTCTGTAGAGTCCTTCAATCTTTAAAAAAATACAATTACCTTTAGTTTTCTTCTTTGATTTTTTTTACTGTACAATAGTCTCTTCTCAAACACATCAACTGAGATGATACACTGAATAACAGGGTTCACATGAATTAAGTTTCTCAAAGCTAGAGATTTGGGACTGAGTTTTAATGTTAGAATGCAAACTTTTGATCATCTATAATTGAGACATCCAAGCTAGAGAGCTCTTCTTTCACATGGGCTCTTCTCGTACTTAAAAACCACAGCAGTCAACTGAGAAATGTGTCTCTGGATCCAAGCAAGGAACAGCAGTGCTCCCCCAAAATTCAGGTTTAGATGGAAAGATTTATATGGAAATGGGTAGTCAAGCTTGTCTCAACCAAAGAAATGGAAGATCCCTGTCTGTGTAACATTACATAGACTTTTAAAAGCTCCATCAGAAGAAGCAGTAAAAACGTGAGGGGTAAATGCAATCCTTGTGATAAAAATGAGACAGGGAGAATCGAAGCTTGTGTTTATATGAAAAATAGACACAGATAGGTAACAACACTACAGAGGACTCCGAATTCCCAAATTAGTGCTCCTAGTCATGAAATGGAAAGAAACTATAACAGTATGAGCTAGATTATAGGTTCCATATCTCATTTTCCTCTCTGACTGCTTTAGTGGGTAAACACTGTGAAGAAGCATCAACATTAGTCAATTAAAATCGCCCTAAAACTCAGTCATGACTGAGTACTTATCTTACACTGACCATCAAATAGACATCAGTCAATGATGACTTTTAAACACTACCAATCTGATCTTCCAGCTAAATATCTGCCCCTCCCAAGGCAGAGTTGCAGGTACTGCACGTACCTTTGCAGACAAAAAAACAACAATCAAAACCCACACAAGCTCAGTAAGTCCAGCCTGGAACAGACTGGGAGCTGGGCATGAAAGGCTGTTCATCACCAAGTCCCAATTTAGACAGTCCCTGAAGCTTCAGTGCAGGATTTTCAAAAACTTTTCTAATTCCCCAAACTCCCAGTAATCCAAGCTGCTTTCAAAGTTATTTGAAGACAACAAAAGCCTCAGCACAGCTAGTTCTTAGAGACACTTAAATATGTACTATACTTCTCCATATTAAGAGGGCAGTTCGTCCCATTGCATGCTGATAAGAGTAGCAAATTCATGTTTGTTTGTTTGTTTGTTTTAATTCTACGTGTAAAAATCTCTTCAGAAAATTTCTAAATCTGAACACTCCCCAGGTGCCTTTTTAATGTACTTAATACTGACCAGCATCACCCACAGCTTGTTCTAGACAGACTCTTTACACTTGCCTCCACACACTCACCTGACCATTCAATCTTGGTGAAAATACTACCAACACCAGGGACCTCCATTTCAGCTTTTCACTCCCTGTCCTTGAAACTTGGCCAGAAGACGGTTTTGTGTTTTGGTTTGGCTTTGTTTTTTTAATGTTGGGTAGCCATGCTCTTACTTCACCCCCAAAATACATCCTGAATCTTTCAAAAGCAAGTTACTTGGACAGTCAGAAGCACTGTAACCACATGTTTTAATTTCCTATTGCAGATGTTGTTTCTTTAGCTTCATCAGAAGAAAATCCATTTCAGAAACACATCTTGCTCTTCAACATCTCAATTCCACGATATGAGGAAATCACCAGAGCTGAACTGAGAATTTATATATCCTGTCACAGGGAAGTTGGGTCTCTCTCTAGGCTGGAAGGCAATATGGTCATTTATGATGTTTTAGATGATGACCACTGGGAAAACCCAGAAAGTACCAAATCTTTCCTTGTCTCCCGCAATATCCGGGAGTGTGGTTGGGAGATGTTTGAAGTGTCCAGCGCTGTGAAAAGATGGGTCAGGGCAGACAAACTGAAGACTAAAAACAAGCTAGAGGTTGTTATAGAGAGTAAGGCTCTGGGTGGTTTCACTTGTGGGAAGCTGGACATCAGTGTTACCCCTGACACTAAAAATCTGCCCCTGTTAATAGTGTTCTCCAATGACCGCAGCAATGGGACAAAAGAGACTAAAGTGGAGCTCCGGGAGATGATTGTTCATGAACAAGAAAGTGTGCTAAAGAAATTAGGAAAGAACAACACTTCATCTGAAGAGGAAGAACAGGGAGAAGAAAAGGCCATTGCTGGTCCCCACCAGCATTCCTCCAGAAGCAAGAGAAGCATTGGAGCCAACCACTGCCGGAGAACTTCCCTCCATGTGAACTTTGAAGAGATTGGCTGGGATTCCTGGATCATTGCACCGAAAGATTATGAGGCTTTTGAGTGTAAAGGAGGTTGCTTCTTCCCTCTGACAGATAATGTTACCCCAACAAAACATGCTATTGTCCAAACTCTGGTGCATCTCCAAAACCCAAAGAAAGCTTCCAAGGCCTGTTGTGTTCCAACCAAATTGGATTCAATCTCCATTCTTTATAAGGATGATGCTGGTGTGCCCACTTTGATATATAACTATGAAGGGATGAAAGTGGCAGAATGTGGCTGCAGGTAGTATACAAGGCAGAATCTCTAAGAATAAGAATACCCTCTTTTTCTGCTCTGTGTAAATCTGTTCACTAGTGATGCAAATGAAAATCCTTGCTAACAAGGTCTGGAGCAGGGTATGGGGCTGGTTTTTATTGTTGCTGCTTGTTTTAAAGGAAAACTGGCATTTAAAGAACAGCAATCATTGTAAATAGCCTGCATTATATATCACGGCAAAGTGAATACTGGATTAAAATTTTGTGAGATTGACTGAACTATGCATTATTTGGCAACAGTGATACAATTTGAATAACTAATTTCAACTTTTCTGTTTAATCAATACTGTTGAGGTCACAAACTAAAGGATTTTCGATAGGGATTTAGGATGTCCTGTAAACATTTAATAGGTATTGAAATCTAATTCTTTCACACAACCCTGACATTTTCAACTTCTGTAAAACTTGATAAATTGAATTTAGTCTGCATGGTGAAACCAGGCGTCTTCTGCAAGCCTTTTCTCATATCAGTAATCTCAGAGGCTATTACAGACAAATTATTTACTCCCTTAAGTGAAGATTTGCAGTATTTAAAACAGAAGAGATTCTCAGTCTTATTTCATTAACAACTTTCCTTCTGTGGGTAGCAGGTGCCTTGGTTTCAGCTTTCATATCCTCAGCGTCCCTATTTTTACCCCTTTATAGCACATACTTGAATGATAAGAAATGCAGCCTTCCGCTTCTAAGACACTGTTTCCTAAGAGGAACAGCAGCCCTTATCTCTGCATAAAGATAAGGAGCCACTTTGACCTACTGCATATTCTTAGTATTTCTTTGCAAGAACATGCAGTCAAACGACGTTCAGCCTTAGAAGCTGTATCCTAAAAGCAGTGGGGGTTGGCCCAGCAGTTATGAAAAGCCCAGGCTACTTATTTATAGGCTTAAAGATGTTCTTTGGAGCCTGACATTAGGCTCTGTTTTTTTTTTTAATTTCTTCTTAGGAGAAACTCTATTTTACACACAAAATTGTTTCACCCCTTAGAAGTCTGGAAAACCTGAAAACTTCTATCTGTGTTCTATGAAACTTATACTGCAGTATGGGAAATGTACTAACACATAATAGTTCTCCTGACTTTCAGTTGTATTTTCACTAAACAAGGACCCCATCTTTACTGCAATTAAAGTAAACTTCTTTTGATTCTAAGAAGGTTTTGCCTGTACAAGAACAGAAAAAGTGTCTTCTGTTGGTTTCAGGTGAAAGGAGTAAGTGCTGTACAATGCCACTATAGTCCACCTCACTTCTACTTCTCTACCACCTTCCACACACCAAAAAACAAAACCAACAAAAAACCCCAACACTTTTGATCCAACCCACAGCAAACTACACATCTGTTCAAAATGGTGAAGAATACTGATGAGGCAAAAACCTAAACAGTAGCCTAATGTACGGAGGCAACAGGATTTAAACGGATACATATGTTTTAAATTAGGGCAGCCTGTGGGCAAGACGAATTCATTTGGCATGAGCAAGTCAGCTTGAAATCTAATATAGAGTTTATTTACTATTGTTAACTTAATACAGAGCAAATAGCAGGTGAGTGTGAGCAGAGCAGTTGTAATTCCATCAAGAACTGCTGGTTACGTCACAAACCATGAGCACAAAGCACGATTCACCAGAATCCTTGGGCTGATTTACAGACTTTTCCTTTAGAACTGGGCTGTAACTGGATCAGATCCAAGATCCATGCAAACTCCATCCATCCAGAGCTGCATATCATTAACCTCTTAAGCTTCCTGTGGCAGTTCTCTTATTTTACCACTCCCCCCTGGTTTCTGCCATCTCATAGTCATCATTATGTCTTCCTCCTTTCAGAAAACCCTGTATTGTCTCCCTGTTTTGTTCATGTCTCCTAAACTCACAACATTTTGCACAACTTCTCTTAATCAAGTAAAAAAACCCACCAAACAAATACTTGCTGTGATCACATTAGACAAGTTATTAACCCTTGTGTTAAGGTAATTGTAGCTATGTGCCCTTAAGTCATCTAAACGCAAGGTCCTAGTTATATTTTGACTGAATACAGGACTTTGTCCATAATTAAATGAAAAAGTGAGGAAGGGAAAAGACAAGTCTCCACAAGCTCACAGAGAGAAATTCTCAAGAATCAATTTTCTTTTTTTTATCACGTTCTGAAGCCAAATGTTGATCTTTGTTCCCAAGCTTACTTGAAGGGGGGAGGGGCG